GACACCTTCTCATGGTGAGACTGGATGATCCAGTTGGAGCTCCCCAGCGAGTAGCCGGAGCTTAATGGGGAGACTTGTACAGCTCCAAACAACTCCTGCAAGAAAAACAAACGAGAAAAAAGACGAGGAGAAGTCACCGCTGCACAAAAGCAAAAATGTGAAATCTTAAATATCTCCTGGACGTAATCAATTCTCACCACTTTCTGTGAATAACCCACAAGCTGCACTTTGCTGAGTGCAGAGTTAACCTCCTGCATGCTGTAGCATCGCTTCCACATCCACACATCAACTGCATCCTTCAGCGGCCCCGGGAGCATCCTAATGCAACAACATAAGTATTCATTTGAACGGTGGAGTTACACCACCCTGTTAGTGGAGGTGTAACAAAACACCAGACAAATTATGTGAAGGTAAAATGAAACTTCAAAAATGACTAAAACAAAGTCAGTAACTGTATTTCATGTGTCACCTCAGACAAAACGCACACACACAGAATATTTTTACAAAACTAGACGACCTTTGTATCTCCTTGTTCTTCCAGGACGTGGCAGACTGGGCTTTAGGAACTCTCTCCATGAAGTTCACGAGCTCCTCCATCAGCAGCCTGAGGAAGGAAACAGGAAGGACGAGCGTAAACGCAACTGAAGACGTCTGACCTGTATCTCATTTTACCAAATAAAATAACAATGATATCACAAAAATAATATAGAAATAGTAAGATGTGGTATTCATCCCCTGCATCTGTCACCTGCCAATCTGCAGCGTGGGCTCCGTGGCGTACACTGTCCCGGTGAAGCCGGTGTGCTCTGTGATGTAAGGCAGGGCCATCATGCAGTGGTAGTTTGAGATCAGGATGACATCGATGGTGGACAGGTCCAACAGTTCTCTCTGTGGGTTATTGAGATTAAATAAATATCATTGTGGTACTTCAGGTATTTATTAAGATTTATGTTTTAGGGTCTACTGTGAAAGTAAAAGACGTGGTAATCACACTGTGCTGATCATAGTAACTGATTTCTCTGACAGGATTCCCCTATTCTTGTCAGTTGTGGCAGGCCTATCAGGTTTCTTTTTCCTTCTTATTATTTGTTTAAAACAGGTCGATTTGCTGCAACTCTGATGCTTCACAGTGGCCCCTGTTTTGCAGAAAGACATTCTAGCACAAGCTATAACACTGATGCAGAGATGAAGTATCAGGGATGTCTACCTCAGGGAGACAGAACTCTGGCTGTGCGTCAACAAACACCCTCCCTGCGCACTCCTTCAGCTCCTGCAAGCATAAGGCGAAACAGTTTTTCCCCCACAGATAAATCGGCACATCTTCATAATAAACTGCAGTAAGTTGAAATACACGCCAAGTAACCTAAACACATTACAAACAGCTTCTCGTGCCTTTTCCAAATTTATTGTTCCATCCTTAGAGACCCAACCAGGTAGCTTGGAAAGTCTTGGACTGAAAAAAAAAGGATCATCATCATCATCATCAAGAAAAACATATCTGTTATCCACGAATGAGTGAATTACTGTCAGTGACTCACCTGTGCACCAAAGGCAGGGGCAGGAAGTTGAGGACAGAGGTGGTGTCCAGTCCACAGTCCAACATGATAGTGGTGGACTTGAACTTGAGGACATTGCAGGGCAATGTAGGATGACCCGACAGACAGTACTGCAAGGAGGAAATGCACCGTTAAAACCACAGGTGTGTGTAGGTGTGTGTAGGAGTACAAAGGTGCAGATACAGTAAAACAGGATAAACACGACACCAGGGGATTGTGTTTCCGTTTTTTCGTATGCATAGTTAAACACTTCACGCTGTGCTGACTTGCTGTTCGCTGCTCACCTTTTCCACTTTATTCAACTGTACCAAAAAACGCTATTAGCTTCCAGCTAACAGTCGCTTTTGGGTGAGTAAAAGTTAATCATTTTCGACGATTCCTACATTCGTTGTTCTCTTCACTGATCTGCTTTTTACTCACCAATTTCATCTTTAACACAAGGAGTTGCTGATAAATGAGTTGAAAACAGTTAGCTTTGCTAACGCAGCATCGTTCTCCACTGCTCTTCTTCTCGCTTTGTTTCCCGCTCGGCTGCCCTCTACTGCCCCCAACAGACGTGGAGTCACATCAAAAGTACAGACACTTTAAAAGTGCCATTTTCACTGAGAAGCCAGCGCTTATATGCAGCTGCTTTGGCAACAGCACCTTGGCTCACACGATATTAATGAAAATATTAATTAAAGGGTCGATGATTGTTGTAAACAAGTGCAACAAGTGATCCCAGAGCTGTCAGCGAGAGTCGCTGCGATAAACCAGAGCCGTAAACAGAGCAGTTAACACAATTTCATACGCCTGGTTGAGTTTATATTTAGAGCCGCCAATGTCGTAATTACAGTAATGATAGAATCATGATTGCCAACTGTTAAATAATATGACATGTAGGTCATTAAGGTTTCAGTTGGGGGACGCCATTAGGCCGGCAAAGGCAGGACTGCCACAGTGACTCAACACCGTTCATCCACTACTCTGGTTTAGCCCCCTCCTATGCTAGCAGCGGCTAGCTGACAAAAACATTAACCACTCCCAAAGTAGTACATTTATCCTGTGACTGCTCTGTCAGTCCACGGTGATATTGCGAAACTGATGCAGAAACAGCGGGCAGCGCTCGCACTTCTGTATCTCCGGTAGGCTTTTGTTTTATTTAACGAGTGTTACCGGCAGCTAAAGAGGAGATAGAGAACGTTTGGATAGGTCGCTGTCAAAAGTGCTCTAGTCGATGTTTTCTTATGGAGGGTTTGTTCAGTTAGGAGTCAAGAGAGTTAACGCGTGGGCGAGGACAGGTAGGAGTTAACACGCCACGTTTTGGGTTTTGTTTTAACTGACAGCACAAACACTTTGACCCGTTTAGTTAAATGTGCGATTGTGTGGGGCTCTGCGGTTAGATCAAGGGTAAACTTCGCGACTCGGTCTCATATACGGCTGGTTACAGTTACCACAGTGAACAAGTTTTTGCCTTTCATTTGATACTAATAAACTATATAATAATACAGTCTGCATATACACATTTATTCATTGCAGTCAGTAGCTTCCTGATATCTTTCCCTTTTATAGAGCAGCAGTATTGATGTACACGTGTGTGTGTTTCTATTTGCCAGACCACAGGAGGTCCGCGCTCGGTTTCTTCACCATGGGCAGCAGCTGCAGTAACCACCTCGGGATCCCTCCAGGCAACGGCCCGAACGCTGTGGGCTGCACTGACTTCATGATGGACCACACTGCAGAGGTACAAGCAAAAGAAAACCTTTGTTCATGCTGACATGTAACAGCTGAGGTCACATATTTGTGTTTGACACTCTTGAGTGTGCTGCAGATGCTGGGCTGGGTACCCACGGGTATTATGGAAAGCAGGTATTTGGGCCAAACAGGCTGCTGACATCACGGGAGCAAATGGCCTTCTGCTGAGTTGCTTGAACTAACTGTCTGTCTCTCCAACAGGGCACCTTCTTCCGGCTGTACTATCCCTGTCAGGAGATGGAAAGTGCAGGGAAGCCTGACTGGGTCCCATACAAGGAGTACTTTAATGGTTTGGCTGACTTCATGAAAATGAACAGGGCCCTCAGTGAAAGGATCTTCAACTACCTCTTTGGTGAATAAATTAGGAAAATCCAGTATTTCTAATGATTTCATGGCATAAAATTGACTATTTTTTCTCAAGTCTTGTGTGCTTGTGCTTCCACCGCCAACCTGACAGTCCATTTCTCTGTGGTGTAAAAGTCACATTTATTTGGTCAGGACAGCAATATTATATGACTTTAGTCACTACAAAAATAGAAAGATGGTTTCTTTCATTTTCTAATTTGGTTAAAAAAATAGGCAAAGTGAATGTTCCTCATTTTTTATCTATTTCAGGGTCCTTCAAGATCCCAGCCTATTTGGATGCTCCATTTAAATCAAATGAAAAATGTCCCGTGATCATCTTCTCCCACGGCTTGGGAGCTTTTAGGTACACACACAATGCATTTGTTTTTTTTATTTCATCACTCCTGCAGCAATAATCGTTACAAGTTCTGCTCACACTGTGGCTCCTGTGATTGTTTCTCAGGACCTTGTATTCAGCGATATGTGCAGAAATGGCCTCTCAGGGCTTCATCGTGGCATCAGTGGAACACAGGTAATTTTCCAATTTAGTTCATATGTCATTTTTATTCCATTAAACACCAACTGTTCTATAGCAGGGTTGTCAAACATAGGGCCCAGGGGCCAGTATCGGCCAGGCAGAGACTCCAATCGGGCCCACTGGAAAGCTGTCTGCCCAGTGTGATGTTGTGTATGTACGGTCAGCAAGGTCTGTCATCTCGGTTGTGGCAACTGCAACTGACAAATAAAATCTCTCTTCTCTATGGATTTGAAACTATTAACTGTATTTAAAGTTTTACAGACCATTGTGTCCATGCTACACCAGAAAGTTACTGATAGATACAAAAAATTAAATGACAGAAAAGTTCCCATTTTTTGAGCATCTACTAAAGATGTTTTTACTATAAAAAAAAAAGTACATTATTCTAAATGCAGGACAGTGTGCACAATGAGCTAGCAACAGTGTTTCTCTTATTTTACACATGTAACAAAACTAAGACAAATTGTTGCAATTGCACTTCTTTTCCTCATATGAAGATATCTCAGGGATTAATTATGTTTCAACATCTTTACACTGACAGAAATTGGAGTTTCTGACCTTAAGTGGTCGCACACTTAAGGTCAGAGTGGGTCGTATGTGGCCCACGATGTAAAATGAGTTTGAAATCTGTTCTTTGTCATCTTCATTTGGAGGAAATCGTAGCTGAACGTTTGTCCTCTGCTGTTGTTTGCTTGGCTGTCTGTTTATGTGTGGAGTAGGAGTGGAAAGGGTGTGCAGACAATGGTATGAACCAGCTCATCACAATTCTTTTCAGTATGCAGACAAGGGGGACCGTATGGAGATGAACATAATGGCCACAGCTGGCCCGTCACTTACGGTGATGGAAGTGTTATTTTGCTGAATTTTAGCAGCCGGCGACATGCTGACAAAGCCGCAGACAGAGCACACGGCTGCAGTGTGAGAGCAACAACATGAGAGTGACTTTGCTTCTTACAGAGAGAGGGCCAGGATGTGCTCTCTGCATGTGTCTACACCATAACTGTTCCAAGTAACATGAAGGAAGTAATTTCTGTTCCTAGGGCTGGAACTACAGGTTATGGTTTTATTTTTCTCCCACAGAGACCAGTCGGCGTCAGCTACGTATTATTTTTGTGAGAAACCAGAGTCAGAAAGGTCAAATGCAAGTTTGACAAAATCATCCGGTGCCACCCAACAGAGCTTGGTGAAGGAGTGGATGTACTACAGAGCTCTGCAGCACGGAGAGAGCGAATTCCCCCTCAGAAACAAACAAGTATGTTGTTGCAGAGATTACCCACAGACTCCCTCTGTGGGTTTAAAATTCAGTCTCTTGATTGCATAACATGTGAACTTCATACCCGCTTGCTCGCAGGCAGCTTGGCACTGATGTTAAAATCAAACCACATCCTTGTTTGTTCTAGCTGACATTGTTGTTTTCATCTGGGCACGTTACGTTAAACAGCAAGCGTGTGGTCACATCCATTTATCTTAAAGCTGAAAGGAACGAGGGAGTGCAGATAGCAGTTGGCTTTTTAAATCTACGATTAAGGCGAGGGATATTTCTTTTTTTTCTGTTCATCAGAGTAGTTTTGCAAAACTCACAGTTCAACACAATCCTGGTTTATCTTGTAGTCCAAGTGCAGCAGCTCAGCTCCACTACAGCTTCCTGTCCCCTCCCTTTAAGAGAAGCTCCCTCTGATTGGCTGCCCACCATAAACAAAAGTTTAGGGAGACCGGGAGTATATAAATCCCATAGTAGGGGAAAAAAGATGGTTTTGTTTGTCGTATGTGTACAGATGTCGTGAATGTAAAGGTAAATATTAATGGCGCCTTAAAGAAACAGAATGAATTCATTTGTTTCATCTTTCAGGTGAAACAACGAGCAGATGAATGCATTCTGGCTCTGGATAAACTCACTGAAATCAACTCAGGAATCTCAGTGCAAAATGTTCTGGAGACGCACTTTGACTGGTCGACGCTGACGGTAAGCTTTTGGTTACCTCTGGCTGTGACATGCATGCAGGACAGCTGACATGCATGCATGTCATGCAGTGTGTGGTAGCAAACACAATAATGGAAATGTGTCACAAGATGCAGAAAGTAGCTGTAACATGAGCATGGGGCAAGTTGGCAAGTGTCACAAGGCTCCAGGAAACGCAGTTTGTGGGCGTGTGTTAGACGTCTCTTTGAAGTTTGATCAAAGCTAAAAGGCAACAGTTGCAGCCTTTTAGCTTTAGTGTTTAAAGCTGAACTCTTCTCACCTTCGAGGTGAACAGCTGATGCTGTTACCTGGGAGAGCAAAGTGTGCTGGTTACTGACACATGACAGAGTGACATACATTAAAGGGTTAACCTAGCAACCAGCCGTCGGCAACAAAGCGGTGATCCTGTGTGGACCCCCGTCGTAGGAAGCAGACATTCCAGCCTCTGGTTACCTAGGCAACTTCCAATCTATTTATACTCCTGTCGTGTGTCAGTCAGGGGTATTCTTCACTGCTTCGATTGCTCAACTTGAAACAGAAAAGTTTAAAGAGTAGATCAGGAAGCAACGGCAAGGTTTTGACCAGAGACCACAGAGTGGTGCAACTTCAAGCTGGGCGAAGAAACCACTGACAAAGCGATGTAGGCTAACCCAGCACTCAACCTTTCTAAGCTTTGAGGTGAAGTACTGCAAAGATGATGCTGATTGACATACGGGGCAGGTGCCAAACATGTACAGCACAGAGTGTCTGCAACAAACATCAGCTCCAAAGCGATGAATGGTTGAGTGAACTGCTTCCTGTGTGCACATCCTTAAATTCCAGCACTTGTTCAATTTCTTAATCATTTCTTAGTTCACAAAAAGTCAGCTTGTACATTTGGAACATCTGTTTCAGGGTTTTCTGTGTGATGCTTAGAAGACCAACGAGTGTTTCTAGCAGTGTTGTATCTTTGTGGTTATTGCAACTTTCCCTAAAGTCTCGAGCTTCCAAAGTTCATTTACCAGCACATTTTTTTTATATATAAGCTTGGCACCAAAAGTCTTATTTAGTTGACTTGATTGTATCAATGCTTCTGGGCAATAAGTCTTAGACCAGGCTTATTTATTTCCCCCACATTTTGCCACAAGTTTGAAAAAGTTGCCAAATCTTCTACTTGGTGTCATTTATTGAACTCTGAAGACATAAGAGTCATAACAACAGCATGTGGAGGAACCACACACGGCCACAACAGCATGGCACCTGCTCCTCGTGCTGGTCACGCAGTGCTGTGGTATAGCTTCCCATTCTTCAACCACTACTTTTGGTTTTGTTGGCTGACTTGTGAAAAACACTGTTAAACTGCCAATATGTCTTGTTTCTTCATACTTTGCTCATCCCATCCAACGCCACACAAGAGTCGACACAGAATAAGCTGTTCGGCATTGGCCCGCACAAATGCGTTTTCCTTACAAACGTGGCACCAAATATACTTTGCAGCTGTAGATTATTGGCAAGAAGCATTGGTACAACAAAGAAGTATCAAACACAAAGTTCTTACTTTTTGTGCTGCCGTGTGTGTATAAACAATAAAATGACATCAACTAGTTTCAGATGACTTCGAAAGTGCACTGAGGAAAAACCTGAGTTAGCCTCAGCTTATCCATCAGCTGCAGAGTCCAAAGTTCATGAAATGCTGTTTTGCATAAAGAACATCAGCAGACTTTAATCTGTGATGAGGAAAAATGTGAAACGCAGTGGAGTGAATTTCATTTGTGCTGATTTCGTAATTCTCTCTCATGTTCTTGGTAACAGAACTCCATGGACCTGTGCAGGATAGCAGTGATGGGCCATTCTTTTGGAGGAGCAACAGTCATAGAGGCTCTGTGTAAAGAGGTTAAATTCAAGTATGTTTTTATGGGACTTTTGGTTTCCAGTCTTTTATCACTTCTTGTAACTGCACTCTTATTGTCCATAATGTCTGCAGGGCTAGAGCTGTGTGCATGAGGGCATTTCACTTTGCTTAGTATACATTAGAAACGTGTGTTACAGGCAGCAGTAACAGACCCAGATTACTGAAAGTAATAACCTGGCCTGCTATGGTGCAAACAGGTGTGGAGTAGCACTAGACTCCTGGATGACTCCTTTAGACGATGAGATCTTTCCTCGGGTGAAGCAGCCAATCTTTTTCATCAACTCAGAGAAGTTCCAGTGGGCGGGAAACATCAGCCGCATGAAGAAGCTCGACTCGGCCGTCATACAGAGGAAAATGATCACCATCAGGTACCACTACTGGTCTGCTGCACTTTCATTCAGAGACTTTGGGCTGATTTTGTGATGACGTCTCTTCTTCACCTGCTTTCTTTCAGAGGTACAGTCCACCAGAGTTTCCCAGACTTCACCTTTCTCACAGGCAACTGGATCGGGAAGCTGATGAAACTCAAAGGAGAGATCGACCCAGAGCTCGCCATAGACCTGTGCAATAAAGCAACACTAGCGTTTCTGCAACGCCATCTCGGTAAGAGCTCCTGCTAGTCGTTCGTCAGATTTAATCATGTAATGCAGGAACACACTTCAGCTGTGGGCACATTAAAGCTGTTTCATAGGATTAATAGATGTGTACGGCGGTATCAGCTGAGCTGTGAGGAGTTGGCTGTTGGTCTGCATGAAGTAATGCTCTGCTTATTCCCCTTTCCTCTGTGCACAACTCTTGCAGGCCTGGAGAAGAACTTTAACCAGTGGGACCCTCTGATAGACGGAGAAGATGAAAACCTCATCCCAGGAACTAATGTCAACTTGCTTCAGTCCGCCATCTGAACCGGCGCTGTGCCTCTTATACTGTGGCCTCTCGCATTCGCCTTGTGCGCAGGAGTCAGTGCAATGGGTTTAAAATGTCAAGTCAGGCCTACTTGGCATTTTTTTTAAGCACATTTTACAAACTGGAAATAATTTGTAAAGCAGTAATCAGATGGAAATCTAATCTCTACCTCATCAAAGGATGGATTTATTCTTTCTGGATGGATCAAGCACTCAGCGTAGTGTTTGTTTCAGGAGGCCTGAATGTTGCAAACGAGCAGCTTGAAACTTTCTTCTCACTGTTGGTGACATCTTTACTATAAGCTGCAATTTCTTAACAAATCTTTGTAATCAGTTTTTATCTTTTAGTGTAAATAAATCCAAATGTTTCTGTACCTCTTTGGACCTTTGAGCAAAGACAAGGTACTCTATGATTGCTGTGTGATTATGTAATGCGGCCTATGATGACAATCTTAAGTTATAGAAAAGATTATAGAATTATGTGATAAAGATTATTAGACAAGCTAGCATGTAAAAGGCATCCAGTAACTTCAAGAACATCTTTCAATGAATATTGTAAACACTAAAAAGCTGCTTTAAACATCCCATTGGCCATAAGCCACCGTACAGTTCTTTCCTTGCTATGTAACTTTTATACACAACAGAAATCCAATAAATCTGGTTTCTTTACAAATGTTTAGCACTCATTTTTTTTAAAAAACACTTCATTGATCAGTTTGTGGCAGTAAGGCTATAAAATTCAATCTTTAAAGGGAGTCCACAAATTAAAATACTAAGGCAACAAGACGACAGGAACAAACCATAAGTAACAGGCAGTGAATTAAACCTGTCTCAGTTATGAAGCTTGCTCCGGGCGTTCTGTGAATGGGAGAAAACTGACAAGCAACAAGGTGTCAAACATAAGGCCTGAGGGCCAAAACTGCCCCAGCAAAGACTCCAATTCGACCCACTGGAGAGCTTTAGAAACACGAAGGACTGCATAGAGTTTGAACTTCTGTCTTTTCATGTGTCTTACAGCTTTTCCTGTTGATCACTGCCATCCGTACCACACCAAAGCATCAGGACATTTTCTGTGATTTCATGGAAACTTTACATTCTAAATGTATAATTACAGGACAGTGTGAGCAATGAAAGCTTTTCTGTAACTTTACAGGTGTATCATGTAGTTTCACCCGTCCCACCCGCTGTATGTGTGCACAGCTGGGTGTCCACTAGTTAATGTGTGACAACAGAACTGTTATGTTTGTTTATATGAAGCCACATCGCCTTACGGATATTAATCAGTGTCCAATTCTATATCTAGATATCTCTATAAAAAATAAAATAAACTTTTAAAAAGTAAAGATTTCCATCTGTAGCTTGTAAAAGTGGTTTTTAAACACTGGGTATGTTCATAATGTTAAAGCAACCGTTTCCAACACCATGAGGACGATGATCTAAATGTTTTACAGGGACAAACATGAAACATTTCTAAGACGCGTTCCTTTTTAATAAAATGTTACAGAAACTAATTAAATGGGGAAGCAAAACCATGACTCATGTGCATGAATATTAATATTTATTGTGCCAACACAAATTTGCTTCAACTCGTCGATTAACACCAAATAGATTTTTTTCCATGCATTTCACAACAGCCACTGAAACCAGAGCAAAGAAACTAAAGACTCAAACATCTAAAGAATTGTTTGGCAGTTTATCAAAACAAACTCCTCATGTTTTATCAACTATTACCATATAAAGACTTTTAGCTTCACAGCTGTTTGTTTTTAGAGGAACAATGAAATAAGCAGATCAAAGGGTATGACGATAGGACGATAACACACAAAGAAGCCAAAACAATGACAACACTGGCATTGGGCACTTAAAATGAACACAGAAAAAATGAACTGAACCATCTGAAACAACACAAAACAATATGCAGTTACAGTAATCTTCTATTTAACGTCCAAAAAGAAAAGAAGAGGCAGTCACTCTGCCGGCTGCTGCTCAGCTGAACAGCTTTGACAGCTGGATTCCTGAAAGGAAGTTAGCAGCAACAAAGCAACAGTCAGCAAATACGCCTTTTTGTCTCCTCCTACTTTCAATGGTAACGTCATACATCAACATAACTCATTCAGAACAAACAGACAGGTATCTGTATCTGCACATGTTCCAGAAAGCAGGTTTAGTGGAAACGCTGAGATGAAGAAACTCTGACAGAACGCCAACTTCAGCTCTGAGTCAGTTACAAGAGCAGCAGCGTGTGATGCTAACGTGCACCGTGACAGGTTTCCTTCAACACGCCCCGAGTTTCTGTGCCTGAAGCAGCTGACAGTTTTAATTCTTCATTCATACAGTTGATAAAGATTTGATATCTTTTTAAAGACTCAAAGTTTCTTTTAACATGGCTGCTTTCATCATCAATCTGTCGTCAGTGCAGGGACTGAGAGCAATCAACACTGCAGACTTACTATCACAGAAACAAAATCTAGAATCTACAGCTGTGTGAAAAACAAAGTCGTCACAGGACCCTTACAAACCTGAGAAACCCTAAATCCACCGTCACATCTCTATAAGAGCAAAGCTTTGAGCTACATCTCAGCCTCAGTAAAGTTGGAGTTCATGACAGTAAAACTACAGAAACACTGAATAAGTAGGAATTATTTGGAACGGCTGCCGGGGGAAAGCCTCTGGCAGCACAACTTAGGTTTGCAGAGTTACATCTGACTTTGGGCTGTCACGTCACAAACACCCCGTACAAACTGTCACAGAGGTGGAAGGCTGAGGACGGGTTTGCTTTGCAGCCACGTGACCTCGACACTTTGTACTCACTAAGTCAACCAAACTTAAGCTCGACTAGAATTCAAGCACAGCAGCAAACCTCCAACAGAAAAAGAAAAAGAATCAGTGTTGCAATGGCCAGACCTCAACACAGCTGCAAACCTCAATGAACCGAAGCTTTGTTGTGAAGAAGAGTGATCCAACATTTCTGCCAGTGTGTCACAGACAAAATGATTGCTTCAAGTAACTGCTGCTGACCACTGGTTCAACAAGCTGGCTGAGTTCTGCTGCAGTTTTAAATGCTGCCTTATTTGAAAGTTTGAATCTCAACAACTTTGCCGCTGCAGATCACCGAGATTAATGTCTGATATCACAGAACAATCATTCTTTAAAGAAAAAAAAAAACACCCTCCAGTTTGGGCCACATAAGGTTGCCGTCATGTAGACTCCCGTCGGGTTACTGCTGAACACGTCATCTACCAACACACACAAGCACAAAAGTGTAAAAGTTGACTGACGAGGCTGAATAAAACCTCTTTTCTATTCATCGATCATATATTGATATTTTAGCTCTCCTGGTTTTTTGCGCTGCACTGAGTTGGCTGCACCATCAGAGTTCAGTGAGACTCAGAGTTTGTTACACCTGCTTTCTGAAACATCACTCAGCTCCACACTCGTGGTTATTTATTATATTTTAATATGAGCATCAAAGAAGTTGAGGCACAAGAAAGTGATTAGACATGTTTGCAGAATAAGAAGCACCCAATGACAGGCTCTTCATTTCTGTTACTACTTCCTACTCCAATGGTTACTTTGTATGAATGCTGTTCTTTCACCTGACCGGATTATTCTGGAGAACAAAACTTACCAAAACTGTCCTAAGGAGAAGGCAGCTCGTCTGTCGACACACTGTCATCACAACTCTGGAAATGTTAAAAAGGTTGAATGAAAAAACAGTAATGTGTGTTTGGTATTCTTTAGGCTAACATGAGTGCCATCTAGATACGTCGGTGGTACAATGAAGAGCACGTGCATAAGCAGTGTGCACTGAACATACTGTCAAATACCCAACAGAAAATGCAAGCACTTGCAGTCATGTGGAAAAAAAACATTCACAGCACTCGTGCAGAAAAATGAAGCACACCTCATGATTGGACATCTTGTAGAACAACAGTTATCATGAGCAGCAAATAATTTTCTGTATGAGTGTCAGTCTCAGGATCGGAGAAGGATCCACTCGTCTTTGCTTCAGTTCACTGAGGGTTTTTCTCAGCACAGCATTGTAACTGGGCTGAGTCTGGACTCTGGCTGTTCTATTTCTTTTGCAGATCTGCTGCTGTGCGTAGGGATCATTGTCCTGTTGCCTGATCTGATTAAACCAAGCTTCAGCTGGTGGACAGACAGCCTCACATTTGACTTTAGAATATTTTTATATACAGAGAAGTGCCAAAACCCCTGCTTTTACAGAGGTGCTCACACTTGAAGATAATCAGTTAATGAAATGCATTTGAACATTAGCACCTGGCTGCTACTTAATTAATAAGGAAGCAGTAATAGTGTTCTTAGAAATGTGCAGAGTCCTGTGAAAACTCTTCCACATGACTGCAGAAGTGTAGAAATACACAAGTTAGATGCTTGAATGTTGCTCACCCTGTTAGTACTTTTCAGTGCCAAAAAATACATTTTGTGTTTAAGATATTACACTGCTATGTTAAAAGCATCATAAACTGCAAAAAAACACAAACCTTTCCAGGAACATCCATAGCCTAAAAATGGTAAATGGTCTGTATTTGTATAGCGCTTTACTAGTCCCTAAGGACCCCAAAGCGCTTTACACATCCAGTCATCCACACATTCACACACTGGTGATGGCAGCTACATTGTAGCCACAGCCACCCTGGGGCGCACTGACAGAGGCGAGGCTGCCGGACACTGGCGCCACCGGGCCCTCTGACCACCACCAGTAGGCAACGGGTGAAGTGTCTTGTCCAAGGACACAACGACTGAGACTGTCCAAGCCGGGGCTCGAACCGGCAACCTTCTGATTACAAGGCGAACTCCCAACTCTTGAGCCACAATCGCCCCGCATAGCCTAATGTCAGTGAATCATCAACCATGTGATATTTATGACAGATGTCTTTTAGGGACAGTCCTAAAACATAAAATATCACGTCTCCATATTTAGATTTAGACTTTAAACTGAATTCATTCATTTTTACCTTTCTTACCTCATTTTGTTGGGAAGGTGGACACTCCTGCAGCTCACACTCCTCCGTCAACATTTCAGCTTCCTCTTTTAGATCTGAAAAACAAGAATACATGAGTATATAATGAAGCGTGTTTCTTGATGCACGTTTATGTTTGTGAAATTAAATAATAAAAATACTTTTCATTTCTAAATGACAAAAATGCATACACACTGCAAATGAAGGCTTACAACAAGCATGGTCCTAGTTTAAAGGAATGAGGTCAGTGTGTGTACAGCTAAAGCTTCAGACTCCTCTCAATGCTCTGTGTCAGACTGGACTTTCTTTCTTGGCTCCATACAATGTTATTGAGAGGGGGCATCCATGCTGTGGTCACCTCAGACACACAGCCCTTGCTGTGGGTACAGAGGGTCCACCCACCTGCTGATGAAACCTTCTGTTTGAAATGAGCAGCTGTAGTAGCTACAGTGGCTTGGCTCAGTGCAGGTTACACAACCTTTAGCTGAACTGTGAATCACACCAAGCTACTGTAGTAGCCCAGAATTAAAATACAAAGCTGTAAATGAGCTCTTTAATTTAAACAGTACCTCTACAGACTTCTGTCAAACAGATCTCTCCAACAAGACAGGTCACCTCTTCAACAAGGCTATTCTGCACAGGAATACAAACAGTGTGTATAGTCTCTGCAGAGATACAATGTTACATTTAAACCTCAAATTGGAAAAATATGCATTACCAAATCTGAAGATTTAATAGCTGTGGAGGTCTGTGGCTCAGCATCAGATTGTAAAGCTGCAACAGAAAATATACAGGAAATGTAGCCCTATGCGTGTTATGTAATCAGATCTGATATTTAAAAAGCCAAGCTGACACACCAGAAAGTGTATCCTCACGAAGACACAACGTCTCATCTTCGGTTATCGAGTCGTCCTGAAACAAAACGATCACACTCATCACTTTAAAGCCCGCTCCAACAAACAGAAGCAGCTCGTGTTCAGTTTAACATCTGCTACATTTTCACTGATTCTTTTAGTTTCATTTCAAGTGATAAGAAGTTTCTTTCCTGGCCAAGTACATTTGATATGTGCAAGTCGTTAAGCCTTAAGGACCTGGTCTCATTTAATAAATTTAGGGCAATTTTAAATGATCTGGATGCAGTTGTTTCAAGCTGCACGTTTGGCCTGAATATTATTACCTTACTCCTGATAGTAGACAAGCACTTTTACTGTTTTTCTTTTTTTTATTGACACCAAAGTTTAAAATTGTATTGGTTTCTGTTTTATTTTCATTTATATTGCCTCTACTAAACTGTGTGTGCAACTAAATTTATGCAAATTGTGATAGTTCTGCTCTTTGTTCACCAGGATAATCTCATTAAGGGGTCTTCCCCTTCCCCCCCGCCCCCAAATGAAGGCTAAAATAATAATAATAATAATAATAATAATAAAATAAATCTGCTAACAAACTTAATACTTCCATGTGTCCTTTCTTAGGCCGAGACGGTAATTTTTAAAGTGTAAATAAATCCAGTTTAACGTTTCGGAGCTGTCGTCACCTCCATATAAACATCAGCACTGAGCTCACACTTGGACATAAAATAATGAACTGGAATTAAAATGTTTGTTACCTCTCTGTGCACCAAATCACCAGATTCATGATTTTCTGCAACATTTAATCTTTTCTCTTATTTGAAACAGTGTTGAACTTAAACACCTTGATCACCATTTCCTCCTCATCATCTGAGAACGTCTCTTACTGGAGGAGGCAGCACTCTTGCTCTGTCTGGCTTAACAAAGAAAGCTGATAACCACACTCGTTATCACCAACCTGGGTTTTTGGTTTTGTCGAACCAGCTAATGCGACCAAAGCCTGGCTGTGTTCAACTTGGTTTGTACTATACCCGTCTGATGTTCATACCCCGCTAGGAGTAGTTGTCCACGGTCCTCGATCCTCTAGGGCAACATCACCACCTTCCACTGTGTTCCCTGAAGGAGTGTCTGTTAAAGTAATAACACTTCATATCAACGCCACATCTTCACCTCATGTTTAATTTCATTCTATAATAAACAGAGTTTTGGCAACAAAGAGAACAAAGTGTGGGCATTCTCTCATCCAGCCACTAATCAATAACTTGTGCAGACATAACCTGCTGCACAGCAGATTACATTTAAATAAGAGCTCAAGGACAAAAACACCTCCTACCACAGCCGATGTGTTCCAGTCTTTGTCTTTAACTCATCATTTTATTGTATTTTTCTTCATGCTGGCTAAAAGAAATTTTGGCTGTCTGCTCCAAGAATAATTATATTGGTACAACTCCTTAAAAGTGTTAGCTAACATCTCTCTTTATGGTACACCTGTTTTAATAGCAACCTCCATTATGTGTTCCAATATTATAGTTTGTTCTTTGTTTGTAAAATATGAGCTCTGCTGCCAGCAGACCCATGCATCTGTCCAGCTGTCAGAGACTGCAATCATGCACTTGTTGCATGCACTGTTATTATAGGCTGCTGGTTAAATTATCCTCATATTTGTTTATATTAATATTGTAATAAGAAGTTTGCAGTGTCATATGTTGTGTAACTCAGTATTAAAAATGACTCACCAAGCGATCCATTCTGGACCTATAAAAGAAGAAGTTGTACTACTTTACTGTCAGGAAATACAGAGACAAGAGAAATAAAGTGTTCTACAGGGTCAGTATGTGTCAGATAAATTTACCTGTGAAAAGCCTAATCACGTATGAGCTATACAGCTGCAAGACATTGTTGTTTAGTTACTCTGAAAACCAACAGAAACAAATTACCGTTTCCTCTGCTGTCACACAGCTCAGACAGTCTTCACCATCACCACTCGGCTTTTTTTGCTCTGCAGTAAAAAACAAAAAAACAAAAACAAAACAAAACAAAACTGCGTGCATATCTAAAAGGAGGACTTCACAGAGAAACTGAATATTACTCAGAAGCAGTGAACTGTACACTCCCTGATCTGAAGTCTGATACCTGTGCAGACATCTGTTATGCAAGCCTCTTCAGTACAACAGGTCACTTCTTCAATCTCATCACCCTAAAAAAAAATAACAAAAAAGTAATCTTGGTGATTAAAATATTTGTAGTCTAATTTTACAATTCTGTAGCTTCAAATCCATTTCTGCATGCGAGTATATTTTGTAACCTCTGCTTGTTTTCCGTAGCAAATCCCAAATCAAAATCTGTGCTTTAACATATTTTTAAAATAAAATTTCAGAACAATGTTGAAATTATGTTTTACACTTCAAATTAGAGACTACACAATCAATATAAAAACTGCACATGGCAAAAAATAAATACATTTTAAAAAGCTGATCTGAAGACATCACTTCAATGTGTTTTTCAATATTTACTGAGCAATATATCCTCAGCCATGCATCCCATGAACTGATTGCAGATTTTGTTTGTTTTTTTGCCTCGTTGGTCAGTGTATTCTGTGCACTGTCACCACAATATAATTTTTTATTTTATTTTTTAAATACATGAGCAGTTACATGTCCCTGGTGGGACAATGTATCACCACTTAAAAAGGCAGTTATTGGCAGTCAGAAGACAGCACACATACAGACACACTCCACTATCTAGTTACCTTCTCCAGCGAGGACACAGTGCACGTGAGGGGCTCACTGGCAGCTTCGTCAGTGTCTGCGAGATCCAAACACAGACAAGCTGGAAAGTTTTAAATGGGGAATGATAGCTTACTTGCTTAAAAAAATAACCACATCATTGGCATATCTATACTATATTGCCAAAAAGTATTCACTCATCTGCCTTCACCAACATATGAACTTAAGTTGCATTCCAATCTTAATCCAAAGGATTTAATATAATGTCCGGCTACCCTTTGCTTGCAGCTAAAACAGCTCTTCCATCTCTTCCACCACAAGGTTTAGAAGTGTGTTTATGTTCTAGAGTCTAGTGGCAGCATGCTTTACACCACTGCATCCAAGGACCTCTGCACCTCAGCATCTGCTGGCCCTGCTATGCGATTTTACGTGAGCTTCCACTGAGCTGCAGTAGCTGAGCTGCTGTCATTTCCAATCACTTCTACTTCATATTAATACTTAGTAGCGAGGACATTTCACAACTGCACTTGTTCCACAGGTGGCATGCTAACACAGTAACACACTGAGCTCCTGAGAGCGACCCATTCCTTTACAAATATTTGCAGTAGCGGTCTGCCTGCCTAGATACTTAATTCTATTTGCATGTGACCATGGAAGTGATTGGAACACTGAAATTCACTGATTTGGATGGGTGAGTGAATACTTTTGGCAGTATGGTGTACTGTTGTTTCATGCGAGGTTCATGCTTGCAGACTTGCATTTGAACTTAACATGTAAATATCAAATCTGGCAAAATCTCATCAAACCTGAATTTGGAATGTTGAGATGAACCAAGGACTCCTCATCGCTCACAGAGTCACTCTGAAATAGAGCAGATTAATCTTTACTCACCTGAGAGTTGGGGACTATATCAGTGTAGTAAGAGCATTTTACCCTTAGTCACAACAGTAAATAATCAATCTGATATTTACTAATCATGACAAAAGCAGAACTGCTTAACATTGATACCAATATTACAGTATATCCTCGTCCCCAGCATACCTCAGCTTGTGTGGTAGCACATGGAACCTCTTGCTGACTCATCCCATCTCCGGCCTCACTTTCCGGTTCATTGGGAGCACCTTTGTGGACAATTGCACCCATTTATACCCCATATCATCAGCCTGAGACATTTCTCAATACGAGTACTTGTGAGTACTTGTGTTCTTTTGAAACATCATCAGTTGTGTTTTCTCTCATCAGTAAAACCATGACAAACTTTCACACCTTATACTAAACTGAATCAATTTCAGATTTAGTCTTCTATAGTCTTATGAAATGTAGTCAACTAAAACTAGACTAAAGCTAAAAGCATTTAGATCCTTAAATTATATCTAAAACTTAATGTTTCAAAAGACTATGACTTAAACTAAATCAACGCTGTAACTGTGGCCGTCAGCTGGCCAAACTACAGAAAGTAACCTCGTTGTTTTTTCATTCCCTTTCACTTTAAGCCTTTCAAAATGAAAAACCACCGTATCAAGAGTTGGATGACAAAATAAGAAGCACTCACTGCACAACTGCTCCTCAGGAGGCACAAGGGAGGGCAGCACTAATTCAGTCGGAATCTGAAGAAAAGAACAAAGTAAACAAAATTATGTCCTTGTCAATGTTCTAATAGTTTAATCCAATCAAATGTCTTGTGCTGTCATTTCTTGTACCTGTTTTGAGACTTCAGTACTTTCCATGAGACTAACAGCGTTCCTCGGAACCTTGAGAAAATGGAAGATACCAATATGTACGTATGTGATCAACAATTTTAAATTACAGAATGAGGCTTTAAAGTAGGGCTGTGCGATATGACCAAAATCTCATCCTGATATGACATTTCTCATCCCGATAATGATATGTATCACAATATAGTGCATTTTCTGTAAATTCCGTGAATCTTGGGCAACTCGACTTGTGTGAAGTGTTTTCATGCATGAAACTATATATTTTTAGTTACAAGTTGTAACGGACGCCATTTTCTTTGTGAGTATTTATTACATGGCGTGGTGCGGGGAAAAGCCTGTTCTAACGTTTGAGGTGTATTTTGAGCACCTGGCGGTTCTTTTTGGTTCTCGTCCATAAACTCTCTCCGTACTCTTTCACGTGATTCGTGTGTAGGTGGTAGAAGAGGTTTGTCGTGTTTGAGTCTGAAGTGGGGACCGGTTTGCAGCATAATTTGCATCGTACAGTTTTCTGGTCCGCGTCAGACTTTTCCTAACCAAACCATGTCCATGCTACAGAGGTAGCCCCTCGTTTAGAAATAAGGTCCTTGATTTGTTTTGACTGGTCCTTCTGTTTGGAGCTAACTGGTTCTGCCTCATCATCAACGGCCATGCTGGTATTCTCTGTGCCTGCATGGTGGCCATCCAAACGATGAAAAAATATTGCCGTAAACGGTTTATTTTGCGACACCATGAAACAAACGATAGTGTATAATATGAAATTATAGATGTTTTAATTTTATCATCCAATATATTTCATCATATCGCACAGTCCTACTTTTAAGGCTTTTAAAAAGATCATCAGTTTATTTCGACATAATGAAGTTTAAATCTACCAATTTCACAGTTGTCCTACGGTTCAGGGAAGTACCACTTCCTACAGAAGCTGTTACTCCATCTTGGTTTTTGGCTAGATCTGGAAATAGAAAAAGGAAAATGCAACACATATGAAATCATTAACTTGCATAATAACTGACAACATGTGAGACTCAACTCCATCAGACTCCAGCAAGCAAATGTAATATTATTACACAGGTATTTTTCCAGAATGACATGGCGTTCATTATGATTTGAGCAGATTTGAACTCAACCATATTGTGTGCTAACAAGGAGAAAAACATTTTTAAAAAGAGAAATTAAGCTCTTTCTTACCAGAAACATTCATGATGTCAGAGCTGTAGGAAACTGTGTTCATCTCTTCAAGTAGAGATTCCTTGTCAGTGTTTGCAGTTCTCTCATGGTCATCTGTTGTCTCTAAAAGGTTCTCATCCACTGGAGAACTTGAGACGTTGGGCCCAAGAGGGTCCATTACCAAGACTTGCTCCTCTTCAGGTTCTTTGTTAGTGTCCTCCATGTTAAAGTTCACAGTCAAAACATTTTGGTCTTTGTCATCAAGTGGCGACAATATACTTTCATCTATACCACTATCACCAGGAAATCTGTCCTTGATCTGTCTTTCTTCTTGGATCCCAAAAATCTCAAGATGAACTGAATCTTTAGAGGACTTTGGAGTACTTAATTTTTGTACCTCATCTTCTGTGCAAGGCTCAAACTGATCAGTGCTGAGCTCGTCACTGTTGTCTTTCTCAAAGTGGATATGAGATTTGTCTGCTTCTTGGGTTTTGGGATTCTCTACTTGATCGTCAGATACCACAGACTCATTTACAGATGAGTCAGTCTGCACTGATGCTTCATCTGAATCAGGCGGTTCATCTGCTTTGGCTTTATTTTCGGTTATGAAGCTCTTCCACCAGGTTTTCATCAACTCGTTTATCACCTGACCTTCGCATTCCACCTGCACAAAGATTGTTCCTGTAGCTCTTGCTAGTTTTGTGACAGTCAACTGCAACAGTTTGACATCTATGAGTGCAGACAATTCAACCTTTGCTCCACTTTCCCAATATCCACACAAAACATCAAAGCCTTCAAGCTCGCACAAAAATGCCTGTGGTGGAATCTTCAACAAGCAAGGTGGCATTTCTCTCACATCTGTTATGCTGACTCTAGCCTTGTTTCCATAGTCCAAAAAGAAAACAGAGAGCTCACCCTCATTTTTGTCAATGACCTCTGCACGATACCACAACTCATCGTCTAAAAAGCGAGCAATACATAGACTTCCAGGAACAAGAGCATCTGGATCAATATGGTTCTGACCTGCTGAATTCTCAACTTCTGAGAGACCTAATAAGATCTCATCATGTTCTTCTGAACTAGCAGACTGACACCAGAAAGTCTGATCATCATTTATGACTGTGATATAGGCTTCCAATTTCTGCCCCTCAAAAAGGTCTTCCAGAAAGTTATGTGGGGAGCAGTGGCTCAGCACTGATCTCTCTGGCACTTCTCTGATATCAGATACCTGGGATGGCTCCTTCCTTTCCTTTACTTGCTCAAGTTTCTCTGAAGTGATTTCAGGATCTACAGTAGGCACTTTATACGTAACCTTCACACCATTGTCTTCAAGGTTAACTTCCCACACAGACCCAATTTTCCTGACAAACTGGCACTTGAACACTTTTTCTCCACTGCTAGAAATCTTTTCTTTGAAAGCCGACACCACATCTGGATCAACTACAACCTGTTCCCCGAGACCAGCAGCATCACTCAGCATACAGTGTGTGCTGTACATTGGCAGCTGCAAGAATTTCTCGTGGAGTCTGCCCATCTTGGAAAGTGGAGTCATGGCTGTATTGCCAAAATCAACAAACTCAATGAGAGCCATTGCATCACCATGGAGTTCTCTTACAACTGCTCGGTACCATGAGGAATCATCTGCGAACTGTGCTTGAACAAGGTCATCTGGTAGCACGTTTTTGAGCCTGTTGGTTTCTGGAGTTGAATTGGGGTCATTGAGCTTTTCTACCAGGGAATATATATGATCCTCATCCCTTACACACTGCACATAGAAACTTAATGGGCTGTTGCAATGTGACATGTAGACATCTGCTACCATACCAGGTGTGATAGAATTTGAGGGCAAGTCTGAAAGTTTAGGAAGCTTTTCGGCATTACTTTCCTTTTGGGATTCTGTGCCATTTACTGTTGACTTGAGTTTCTTGGTATCTGTTGGAAGATGTGAAGATCTGACATTGCCACCAGCAGATGACTGCCTTTGCTGTGGAGGTGTGTACAACTCTAGTCGTGGACTCTTGATCCTTTGACCATTTTCATGAACTGACTTTGTTGTTTTGTTCCAAAGGTTCATTTCATTAGATTTCCTGTCATCCCTTAAAGTAAACGGAGGTTTTGAAGCAGAGAAACTGTTTTTCTTCAGGAATTGTGTGTCATCTTCCATTTTTGTGGTCCGTTTTGTCGTCTTTTGCGAACAACTCGGTGAAGCCTCAAAAGCTCTCCGACCATGGCAAACAACCTGGCTTTCTGTGTGCATCTCAATCTGAAACTTTTTCTTGAGCTTTGAATTGATCTGAGTGTTTCCAAGATAGAGCTCAACTAGCACTTTCCCATCAGGTTCTCTGGCCACTACCAGCGCTCGGAATTTGCATTCTGTTGCAGTTGTCTCAAACCAGCTGTTCACCTCACTGGAAACATTGGCAGGGACATCAGAAAGACCACACACCACTGCTTGCACAGGCACAGACATGATGTCGTTTGCCTCTCTGGGAACTGGGAGCAAGTCAGATTTATCTACTTCAATAGTGTCCCCGTAATCCACAAAATGAACCAGGAGTGCTGGCTTTGTGGCCTTGATCTGCCCTCTGTACCACTGCCCATCAGTATACCTTGCAAAGCACAGAGTTCCAAAGACTGCTGGAAGCTTCACATTCTCAAGCTGACGACAAAAACTGCTCACTTTCATCTTGAGGTCATTTATCACATCAGCATTCTTTTCAAGCTGGCAGTAGAACTGATTGACATTGTTCACACATGTCACTGTGACCTCTTCCTCCATCCCAGTTTTGACACTGTGTGTTGAGTAGTAGTATGTATCCAGACGAAAAGATGGTCCCATAGCTTTTTTGGGAGGTGTACCTTTCATGACATTTACCATACTACTGCAAATACTCTCAAATGGAGTTTCTAGATCCACAATGTTGGAAACAATCTTCTGCTCACTGCACATGACAGCATATATGGTGCATTTCAGAATCACAAAGTTGGAAGCAGCCGAGTCCACAAAGTTTTTAAACCTTTCTACTGCCTCTTCGCTCCACTCAGTTACAGCAGATGTAGGGTCAATGGGATTCAACAGACTGCATCGAAAAGCCTGACCGTGCAGAGTAAGAAATTCTGGGCCGATTCTCCTCAGGTCTTGGAAGGAGACCGTCTTTGTCTGGCCATAGTCAACAAACAACACATCCACATGAGCGGTTTCATGTTTATGAATCGCAAGGGCCCTGTACCACAATCCGTTACCAGGGTGACGAGCAACACAAGCCGTTTCGACATTTGGCTGAAACTCACTGCCTGCATAGCGTGCCTGTATGTCATCCATGAGCAATTTCAAGAGTCCTGCATTATAAACTAGCTGGCACCAAAAGTCGCTTGGGCTCTCAATGAAGGACACATTGACATCAAGGACACTTCCGATAGGAAACATGTGTTCCTTAAAGGTAGCCATTCTTCCTTCTTTCTGGCTAAGGCCAACTATGTTTTGGACTTGGAGAGCCAATCCAGTGTTCTTATTCCCACATGGTGGGCTGGCAACTGGATATTGTGTGGGAGGAGTAATAGCAGGATGCATTGTGTCTTTGCACTGCCCTGGTTTGCCAGCCTTTTCAGCAAGACCAGAACTACACAACAGTGTACTGACTTGTTGTTCTCCCTCTGCTTTGGGATCTGTCAGATGGACAACATAGCCACTATCATATTTGGCCAGTACATGTACTTTTAGTTCTTTATCAGTTACTGCTTTTCTGAAAAAGGCAGAGGCACTCTGACTCCATCTCCCATCTTTAGGTCTGACACCAGCCAGAGTACATTTTAGTGCCAATCGTGGCAGCTTTTTGAACTCAGCAGGAAGTATCCTGAGGTTTCTCCTATCGACCACTTCTGTATTTCCATAATCAACAAAGAATACCTCGACCTGTGTCTCACCAACTTCAGTCACAGTTGCTCTGTAGAAATCACCATCTGCTGCTTTGACTGCACAGTAGAGTCCAACAGTTGGAATTCTAACAGATCCTTTATTCAGAGAATCTTTGTAGAGATGGTAGATAGTATCCATTAATTCATTCAACTGCTTTGTATAGTTTTGCGTTTGGATGTAAAACTCTGATGGGTTTGTTACATGCTGAACAACTGCCACATGTAAGGAGTTTACCAGGAGAACTTCAGCAGGCACCCTCTCTGCAACTGCTTTCCCTTCTTTTTCTTCCACAACTTCTCCAGGAGTTAGCGGCGTTCTTTCTTGCTGGGCTGGATGCGGTTGCCTGTGTGCTGTGTTGCGGATAGCATAATCTTCCAGTGTTTTTTCACAGTCCAGCAAACAGCCCTCTTTGGAACCAAACAAGATGTTCATGTTTGTATTGTCATCTCCATAAAGAGTGACATAGTGAACACCCTCTGAGATGCTTTGGTACTCAAATTTGGCAATCATCGTCTTGTACAGCAGGAGAGACTTGAGGTAGTCAATTCGGGTGGTTGTCCATCCTACCCCTTTGTCAATAACTCCATGGAGAGAGCAGATGTAGGTGACAACTGGCATCCTAAAGAACTCTGCAGCCAGTGACCTTACATTCTCCACTTTAACAAACTCTTTGGTTCCACTGTCAACATTCAATACTTCCACCATGTTACTGGTTGGAAATACCTGCTGTAGAATAGAGCGGTACCATTTGCCATCACTTCCTCTTGCAGAACATGGAGACCCAATCATATCTGGGCCTATAACGCAATTGGGCATTCTCCCTTCGCAGCTCTGTGTAAGTTGATCTGACAGTTTCTTCAGTTCTTGAGAGAAGACCTTTAACTGGCAAAAAATCCTCTGTGGGTTTGTCACTTCTGTTACAACGACTGTCTCTACAGTTCCTCCCTGTAGCTCTGGGTACATGAACACCTCTTGCTTGCGCAGTTGTTCAACAGGTCCCACGGACAGCCGTTTGATCTCTGGAAAAACCTCAGCTCCACTATGGGGCTGCACTGACTTTAGGACAAAGTCCTGGAAGATGTTTGGGGATAGTTTCTTAGCAAATCCCATCTCATACATTTGTTTGGATATGCAAGGTATGTGCAGGAGGAATGTTCTGTTCAGGACTAGTACTTGCTGCACATGTGCTGACACACACTTCCCAGTTAGAGATTTCAGAAATTCAAGCGCCATTGGGGACCATTTGTTCTCAAGTGACAGTGGTAGCACATTAGCTAGCACACAAAACTCCACTTCAGGAGGCAGTTGGAAATGCTCCTTTTTACCCCATGCAAGCCTACTTGTGATGGCACGGCATGTTGTTCCTTTGTCAATGAGGAACACTGTGTATTTCGAGCCATTACTTGAGACTATGCGAGCCCTATACCAAATACTCTCAATCTGAACCAAGCATTGGTCACCAGGTTTTCCTTCCAGTTCTTGCAAAGAGTCCCCAGGGGACTGGATGTCTTTGGCTAGACGTTCATACTCTGCAGTCCTCTCCAGGCTAAATTTTCCCCAGAATTCCACAAGTACACAATGGGGATGCACATGGACCTTGGATATGAGAACAGTTACATCTGATCCTCGTGTAGGGAGTCCTAAGATTGACGACATTTTGGCAGTTTCATCAAATCTAGCTACCCATGATTTGTCACCTCTAAACACCGCTGCATGAGGATCTGGATCTTATCTGGAAAACACAGGAACACACACACACACACATAAACACACTAAATGTAACAACCAGTGGTATAAATTTGACGTTGCCTCATTTGAGTTATCACATTTACAAGATTCTTAGAAAACCTGACCTCTGACCTTGAGATTCACCACTGAGATTTGAACTTCTCCAAGATTTTTAGCAGATACATACATGGTATGAGTTTCAGAATCCTACATTGCCCCATTCTTGAGTTACTGCATTCACAAACTTGTGTCCACGGCGTGGTTATATCACCTACCCCTAATTTATGTAGTAGAGCAGCAGTTCCCAACCTTTTTTGCCCCATGGACGGTTTAATGTCAGATAATATTTTCACGGACGGGCCTTTAAGGTGTAGCAGATAAATAAAACAAAATAAAATTATACGACCAAGACAAAAACTCTGGTATTTTGTAAATATAATAATAAACGCAAATTCACTGTGTAATTGTATAACTTTATTAGCAGCGTCCTCCTAAAATGCACCAACAACATTAAGAGTAACATCCTCCTCTCTGCCCCTTAATGCTCTCTGGTCACTATAGTAACACTTAAATATTTCTTTTAAAATAAGACACAACTACAACACAGGAAAAGACAGAGTTAACGATAAAAACCCTGAAAACCATACGTTTCACACCCGACCCTCAACTCTCGCGGCCCGGAGGTTAGGGACCACTGTAGTAGAGCAGAATCTCGGTATGCAAGGGTCAGACAGTGACGCTACAATGTCTAGAAAGTTCTGTATTATTCCACCGCAATCAAGATGCCAATCCCAGTTGCCATTTTTTCAGTGTCCTTAAGTATATCACTTTGTCAACAGCACAGTCCTCAATGGTCACAGACAAAGCTGCCTGTACAGGGCTCGCAAATTTTCAAAATCCCTGGTAGCCCTTCGGGCAGGGACTCTTCAGTTTTTGGTAGCCCAAAATAAATTTGAGTAGCCCGAATAAAAAAGAGAGCAATTTTTTGATTGATGTTTGTTTCCTGTTTTGTTTCCTTTACATTATACATTAAAGTATAATATTGTAACGGAAACAAAACATTAATCAAAAAATTGTTGAAACACAAATTACAACATTGTATAAAAATTACAATCATCAACTCAAATACTTGGTTCTAATTGAACAGAAATTTCTATGAACGTGTAAGAACTGTGTAGGACATGAATCAGTCTGTGTCAGATCCTGAATTTGAAATTTCCACTGAAGTCACGGTAAGAGGCAAGTGGAACCAAGATCTAGGCCATTTGCTTTTTGAAGTTTGCAAAGACTGCTAAATTTTGCCAGTGGTAGTTCACTCTTCGCAACATAGTACGCTGTTCTATTTGCAATTGGTGTTTGTTCTGGGAAAGATATTGCAAATTGAGCAATAATGCATTTCTTGCATTTCTCATGGGTTCTAATAGGGGCCTTTCTTAAAATTACTGGTCCCAGTAACAAAGGCGCTT